TTATTGCCTCAAACTTCCATCGGCTTGAGCCGATAGTCCCTCTAAGAAGCCGGCGACCCGCCAAAGCGGGCCTGGCTATTTAGCAGGTTAAGGTCTCGTTCGTTATCGCAATTAAGCAGACAAATCACTCCACCAACTAAGAACGGCCATGCACCACCACCCACAAAATCAAGAAAGAGCTCTCAATCTGTCAATCCTTACTGTGTCTGGACCTGGTGAGTTTCCCCGTGTTGAGTCAAATTAAGCCGCAGGCTCCACGCCTGGTGGTGCCCTTCCGTCAATTTCTTTAAGTTTCAGCCTTGCGACCATACTCCCCCCAGAACCCAAAGACTTTGATTTCTCGTAAGGTGCCGAGCGAGTCAAAATAATAACATCGCCCGATCCCTAGTCGGCATAGTTTACGGTTAAGACTACGACGGTATCTGATCGTCTTCGATCCCCTAACTTTCGTTCACTGATTAATGAAAACATCCTTGGCAAATGCTTTCGCAGTAGTTAGTCTTCAATAAATCCAAGAATTTCACCTCTGACAATTGAATACTGATGCCCCCGACTATCCCTATTAATCATTACGGCGGTCCTAGAAACCAACAAAATAGGACCGCACGTCCTATTCTATTATTCCATGCTAATGTATTCGAGCAAAGGCCTGCTTTGAACACTCTAATTTTTTCAAAGTAAAAGTCCTGGTTCCCCGACACACCCAGTGAAGGGCATGCGGATCCCCAGGAGGAAAGGCCCGGCCGGACCAGTACACGCGGTGAGGCGGACCGGCCAGCCAGGCCCAAGGTTCAACTACGAGCTTTTTAACTGCAACAACTTTAATATACGCTATTGGAGCTGGAATTACCGCGGCTGCTGGCACCAGACTTGCCCTCCAATTGTTCCTCGTTAAGGTATTTAAATTGTACTCATTCCAATTACAAGACCCAAAAGAGCCCTGTATCAGTATTTATTGTCACTACCTCCCCGTGTCGGGATTGGGTAATTTGCGCGCCTGCTGCCTTCCTTGGATGTGGTAGCCGTTTCTCAGGCTCCCTCTCCGGAATAGAACCCTAATTCCCCGTTACCCGTTGATACCATGGTAGGCCACTATCCTACCATCGAAAGTTGATAGGGCAGAAATTTGAATGAACCATCGCCGGCGCAAGGCCATGCGATTCGTTAAGTTATCATGAATCACCAAGGAGCCCCGAAGGGCATTGGTTTTACCTAAAAATAGCTACTTTTATGGGCGGTATTCTATACAATCTATAGGAAATATCTTTAATTATTCTTTAGAATATAACCTTTATCTTACCTTCTTTTCTTTAGCTTTCGTGTCTCTTTTACTTTTTATCTTCTTAACATAATAATAGTTTATTCTATTTCTATATAGATTATTTATGCCGGTTTTTTCTGCCGTAATTACCATCTCAATACGCCAACCACCGCTATTACTCGATGGCAATCAATACTAGCTTATAAGGATTGGTTGTCTCCAAGTTCTTTGTCTTCTCGCTAGCATCCGCGTGGATTGTCACACTTTGACCGAGCCTCGCATCCAGGATCTGCGTATTGAACGAATCCGTTACACGCATCGAAACACCTGTGTTTGTTCCGTCAGCACTTCTTCAGCATGTTATCGGTGCTTTTCTTTCCCGGTGAAGCTTACCCTCCGTATCTAATTCCACAGTGGTTCATGTAGTCTTTGCATATAAACCGCGGGCATGCGAAAGCTTGTTCAGTGGCGGCTGGTTTTGTTGATGTGACCAATGTCGTCGGCGTTTCTGCAAAAACTCCCGGTGCTGCCGTGGTGGAGGTTCTGGTTGTCACTGTGGTTCTGTTAGCTCAGTGCTTGTAACTTTTTCGCCTTCGGTAGTCTGTACCGTTGAAAAATCCTCCAGGCGGAGCATGTTCGTGCTCGTTGACCTTGTGGGCCACTGCGCCGGAAACAACGAAACTAAACAAGCTGCAAGCCAAGAAGACTTTGCTGGCGACGTGCACCATCGTGTTTTCGTTTCGCGAAGCTTGGGATGTGGAGAATGTTTTGAGCTTTTGAAAGTATGTTTGGCGTGAGTATTCTGTGTAGACTTGATGTTGTTGAAATGCTTCGATCGAGCAGACAGGCCTTCTTAAGTAGACGGTGATTTGGGCCGGAAGACGCTGAGACCGAGCAGTACCCCTCTTTCAAGCTTTGGAGAAATCACGATGCCAAGTAAGCGGAGGAGCTGGGCGCTGTCGTATCGATCACGCGAAAGTCGTGGGTGTCGCGCGAGAGGGGAGTCCAAGCCGATGTTGGACTGTTCGAGATTCCAGGGAGTGGTTGCAAAGTTACCGCGGGCTCGGGACTCAGGAATGCTCGACGATCGGAATGCGGATCTCACACACCGCCACATCTGATAGCTTCGCCGTTGGGCTCGACGTTCAGGGCGAGACTCCAACCGCTGCCCCTTCCGAGCTGCACCGGATCGCCCGATGATGGACGTGGCGGAATGACGGCTGCAAGGGAAGGACGATGAATGTCTTGGTATGCTCCAACGTGGGCGGGCTCGCGGTCGCCGTTAGCGTCGCCGGTGCGTGCTGGCCGCGTGAGGGAGATGAACTGAGCCGGTTGAACGACTTTCCGATCGCAGCTGGGGCACACGTCGGTCTGGCCGAGAGAGGCTGCGCATGCCTCGTCCGGCGCGCGGAAATCTTCACAACGTGTCTCGTGTCTCAATGGGCGGGCAGGTACGACGGCAACGCCGACGCGCGACGCGCCTGCCTTCCAGGAGTAACAGCTCATCGTACCCCCGATCGAACGTTGCAATCTCTGACTTGGCACCGAAGCTTAGCATTCCGCCCTCCCTCCGCCCAGCCGCGGCCTGCGTCAGACACTGCTTTATGCCTCTTCGCTACTCACTGAATCCTACCCGAACGGCATCAAATGTCTCAGGGCGACGGGAAATGAGCTGCTTTCGACCGTGGAACCTTTCCGCGCCATGGGTTGGTCATCCAACCTCGCCTCATTTCCTCTTTTCCGCTCCATCTAACTGAGCGACGCTCTTCCACGTCCCTTGATGCCTCAGCTGCCACAGTCCCGACGCCTGGCATCGCCTGCGCAAGCTGTACAAGACGCAAAGGAACATCGTCATCATGAGGTCGTTCAATTGCCAATGTACGCTATGATGCGGGTCGCTCGCCGGGCCAACATGAAGACTGGGCAACGTCATGTTAAGCTTCCGTTACACCAGATGTACCGGTGACATCGCTGACCGGAAGCGCCATTACGCATTCAACTGACTCTGGACGCCTCCAAAACGCCACAGCTGGCCGAAAGTCATACACGGCCCGTTTGAGCTGCGAAGCTGCACCGCCGCAAGAGACAAGCCGTTTTGGCGCATTCAAGCATATCTAAGAACGCCAGCCTTGCCCGGGACTCGCCATGCTCCATGCGGCTCAAAGCATACCACGAGCCCCATCTATTTGTGCCGACACAAAGCATGGCTGAAGGCGATCCGAATTCCCCAGCGTCGGTACATCCAGGTCCTCGGCGGCGGTTGGCAGGGCTGCACGCGCGCCGTATGGCCACGTCTCGGTTTGATGCTACGTCGTCAGGTACGCATGGAATGCAATCTGTTAAACACGCATTGTGCTTCCCGCTAGTCACCGCAGCGACGCAGTCGGTGGATGGAGAGAGCCTAATGGCCAATCGAAACACGCCGATCAAAAGGGTCTTGACAGGTGTTTATGCGTGATCAGGGGCTCTTTGCCACAAAATTATACAATTTTAACATGGAGAGCTGACCGGTCGTCCGCTCTACTGTTTTCGGCGGCCTGACTGAAGTCTAAACGTTCTTGCCGCTCACAAATTGAACTGCTTCACAAGTGGGGGGATAATCGTGTTAGCTGAAGCTGAGCCCACTTTGCAGGCGGGCTTCGAGCGCCTCCTTTTTCTCCTCGAGGGTGCGAGCGCTCATGTGTCGAACTTTCAGCGCCTCGACTGGCTCACCGCAAATGTGGTTCCATAGGAAGATGAGCTGCAGCTGCTCCTCGGCCAATGAGCCCTCTTCGTACCGACCTCTCGCTTTACATGCGTCGCTCAAACTCTGTATTGCCGCATCGAACTGGCCTAAACCAATCAAACTCATACCACGCCAATAGAGGCAACGGCTGACCAAGGGTTCATATCCCAACTCGCATGCGATTTCAGCGGCAGCCTCGGCGAGCTCGTACGCGTGGCCAAAATATGAGTTGGTATGTAACCTTCGTGAGCAGGCTAGTTTGATCCCGACACTAAGCTCCCGCACTTGGTCGCCCAATCCTACTCCTAGAGTCATCATATGACTTCGGTTTTCAGGTGTACGGTTTCGTGACTTACCCTCGTATAGAAACGGCTGGTTCGCTATCTCTCCTCGCACAGCGCTGTCTGTCCTTTCATACACTGGCTCGTTGATCTTCTTACGCCCGGGAAAGAGTGCAACGCGCAACTTGTTCATGTGCAGCGATGACGCGGGCTCTGCGACCATTTTGTTTGGGAGAGGGCTGGGTCCGTATTCTTCTTCCACCACTTTCGTGGACTCGACATGCATGTGCGCGAACAGACTGGCTAATCCTTCCTGCAGTCAAGGCTTTCAGTCAGGCTTTGCATTCGATATCTGGACTGGCTACTACCTGCTTGTGCCTCACCATGGAAATTCCGTAGGTGCCCTCTTTTCCCAAGAATCCTCTATGCGGCCTGATTCCAGTTCCACCGCCATCGCCACCGACCAGACCGCGAATATATGACGCAGCAGGGTTGTCGCCCCTGTTACTCGTCGAAAGCAGTCTTACATTCAAATCCTGCTGACACGCCGCTGTTTGCTGCAAAGTGGAACCGTGAAATTGCGTGTGATCTGTGTCTTGTAAGTTCGGAGTGATGTCGGCATCGCTGCAGTTCGACGACACCGCGTGCTCGGCGGTTATCAGCGGCGTCGTCATGCTGGGTTGATTCGTTGGCTCAACTATCCATCCCATAAAGTCGTCGGTTGAAGGGTAATGGCGGGTGGGAAGGTGTTTGTGTGCCGTCCCGCATAGGTTCTTTGTTCGACCGACTTAAGCCGGATGCGGCGAAACCTCAATGCTGTCGCAAACCATCGCGATCGACGTGTCTTGGTAGCCTGCCGACTGGGACAGCCAGCCTTATCTAGGCGATGCAAGACAAAGATGCGAGGGGTGACAGAGACGGAACAAATCCCCACCCAGTACTGGCAACTCCAAGACAACGAAGTCTCACACAATCGAAAACCACGGAAAGTCGCAGAAGCTACAGCCTCTTTGACGCTGCTGCCCGTATTTTCCTTTGTTTGTCCCGACAATCCAGTACCAACTATCTCTGTGTGTGCTCGGTTGCTCGCCCAACGGCTCATGCGTGGAGCATATGGCGGTAACGCGACCTGCGCTGCACTGCACTATGCTGCGAGATATTTAACGCGCAGTCACGGGCCTGCGCGCGGCAGCCTCCCCCGGCAGTTGGCCGGGAGTAGGACAAGGTACGATGGTGAACGTCCCGCCTCCTCGAGCCGAAAAGACGTTAGCGCGTTTCGGGACTGCAGCTCTGCGCGCACGCAACTGGGGATGGTGGAATAAGAAAATCGAAAATGCATGGGTATTCAACTTCTAATAAGATTTGCCCGGCCACCGAGCCTCGCGAGCCTCAACGATATTCTCATCTTTACCATTTGCGCCTCTCAATGGCTCGTCAAATCACCGCCCGACCCCATGCCGACTCGGGCAAACATCCGCGAATCAAGAAAAACTCGGACCGCCGTGAGACGGTAAACGACTTAGCGCCGGACAGAGCCGACCACCACCGCTCACCGGCCGTGGTCATCGTCAAGCCGGCACATGCCGTCAACGGCACAAAGAGGAAGAGGAAGCAAACCGAAGACTCTGGGTCAGTGTACCAGCCTTCACCCGCGCGTTCCCGCCCAGACAAAAAACCGAAGAATGTTAAAAAGGAAAAGACGAGTAACGTAATCTCAAAAAACCACGATACCCTCATGGAATCCATCTTTATCGCAGCGAACAACCACTTCAACTTGAACAGTACAGAAAAACTCCGGGAATTTGAGGACTCGATGGTGTACGAACATGCTCTGGAAGACCTCCGTCGCCGGAAAGGGCTTGGCGTGTCCCTCCCCGCCGTTACCAATTACATGCGTAACGCGATTGATGCGCATAGGTCTTCCTCTTCGCGGGGGTCCAAGCTGGCGAGGATTGCCGAATGGTCTGACCGCCTTGAACTTTTGGCCGCACAAGTCTCCAGTTCCAAAACGTTTCGAAGCAAGACGGCTGACGCCTCGCCTGCAAAGGGGAAGCGACGCCGCCTTGAAAAGCCCGATGCCAATGTCTCGACTAAAAAGGCGGATGATCCTGGCAAATTGCGAAGGTCGATTTCACATCGACCAAGGTTGGAACGAAAAGGGAAGCTCGAAGCGACCAGAGAAATCAAGAAGATGAGGGAAGAAGAACTCCGATGGCGTATACAAGACGATTTGGAAGATCAGGAGAAGTGTACACAGGAAGCACTGGGTATCATACCGACCATTGAGGGCGAGCAAAACCCGAACGAGGACACACCACATGCTGAGTCGGGCGACTACTGCATCGAAGCTGCAACTGGAGCCAGGAAGACGCACTCCAAGCCTAAAAGGTTTCCATCAACCATCCCAGACAGTGAAGAACCGGACCTGGATTCAGGTTCGGACGACTTACAGGCAGACGAGCAAAGTCAGCAAAGAAGCACTTCAATCCCGCACGGTAACAATTCAACGAACTGTACCGGGCATGAACTGCTCGCTGCCCCCACTGCCTCAAAGCCAAACCCTCCGGAGGTTATTGTTCTAGACGACTCTGACTCGCCTGAACAAACCGATTACACCTCGGTTTCTAAAAGCCCTTCTAAGCGCCCAAAGAAAAAACCCCGAAAGAACAAAAAGAACCACAAACAAGCATGTGCTCCTCCTCCACCGCCGCCGCCGCCACCACCCCAAGAAAACTCCCATGTTGCCACACCCAACTCGGCGACTACAAGCCGCCCGGCTGGACGCTGCACGGTGATAGACGAGACCCAGGGTGGAAGGCCTGTGCGAGAGCACGGCACAGGAAACCATTGTCACCAAGCAGCGCAAGATCCTGCTCGAAACAAAGATGTTGAATCCGGGCCAAGGCAGCGGCAACCACGGCGATCGAGGTCAAGGCGCGGCTCGCGCGCAGCCGGACAACAGGCAGAGGAAAGACAGGAGCATGTGCCTGAGCTGACTAGAGGTGCGGGAGATACGACGCGACGCTCACCCCGGCCGCAAACAATACCAGAAGACCGCGTACCCAGTGGCGCAATCATCGGATTGAGAGACTTGAGGAAGCGCGACAAGAAGAAAGCGTTCGACCTCCTCAATAGGTTCACCAGAATTCAGGCCGGCTACGGCAATGAGCAAGCCATTTTCGAAGCGGTGAGCAAAAAGTTTCGGACAGCACGTGGGGAGAGACTCTCGGCTTCAAACATTCAGACGTTGGCTCATACACAGAGCATTCCCATTACCGGCAGGGACAGGCGTGGCAATAACGGAGACGTCCAGTTGTTGAGTTGCTCCATCCAAGCCTACAACAACACTGTGAGAAATATCCAAGAAGGGGCGCTGGACCGCAAAACCCTACAGCGCCTCGGTCTGAGCAGGAGCACTTGGCAGGATGAGCTTAAGAGAATCAAAGATGGCATTGCGGATAGCCAGCAGGAACGCGCCCAGGACCGTCAAATTGTGACCGAGGAATTATCCGTGATAGGTACCAGGCTCCAGAGGATAGAGTCTTGCTTGGAAAAGATCTCGGGTGGGGGTGGCTTCGCGCGAAGGGCTTCGTGACCTTCATCTCGCAGTTCCCGAAAAGCAATGGCGCGCGGTCAGGGTCACGGGATCGGAGCGCGTCACGTGGGCGACGGAGCTGGCGGGGCAAACCCATCCAATTGCGTCCGCGGGGGAACCCTGGGTTCGATGAATTGGAGGCTTGGATGCTTGCGGGCGCGGCGGGTCATGGAGGCGCCGGTTGGGGGAGATGACGCGTCGGCGACTAGCGGGACGATCTCCCGGGACGCGACTGCCCTCTCGCCTCTCACCACCACCATCGCGCCTGCCTCGCGCCGTCGCACAAAACGGCGGCGCCTCCCACTCTTATGCGTCGACTCCTCCGGGGCCCGCGCCCGCATCTGTCACGGGGCCCTGTCGCCGCCGATAACGATTGACCTCGTCCGTGGTTGCTTTTGCGGGCATTTCCGCTTCCGCGACCCCTTCCACACCGCTCGCGCCCGCGTCCACGTCTCTCGCGCCGCCTCGCTGCTCCCGCTCCCCACCCCTCAAGCCCTCGCCCTCGCCATGAAGTCCGTTCTCGTCGTCGGCGCCGGCCCGGCCGGCCTCGTGGCCGCGAAGACTCTCCTGCACTCGTTTCCCCCGGACACCTTTTGCGTCAAGGTCCTCGACCGCAACGCCCGCGTCGGCGGCATGTGGGCCGTCGAGAGGGGCGAGCACGGCGGCAGGGTCAGCCCCGACATGCGCGTTAACGGTTCGCGCTTCACCGTCCACTTCTCCGACTTCTCGTACGAATCGGCCGGCGTCGGCGAAGACCCGCTGCCCATGTTCCCGCGCGCGTGGCAGGTCGGCCGCTACCTGCGAGCCTACGCCGACAAGTACATTCCCGCCGACGCGTTCCAGCTCGAGGCCCGCGTCACTAGCGCCGAGCGCGTCAACTACCGCGGCCGCGACGTGTGGAAGGTTGAGTGGAATGGCCCTCCGGAGCCTGGCTACCCTCCGCCGAAGAAAACAAAGTTTCCCAAATCCAAACAACCCACCGCCGAGGAAATCGTATATTTGCTGAAATCGTCCGGCACTACCTACCAGGGTTTTTTCGATTTTCTCATCGTCGCCACCGGTTTCTTTCATGCGCCACGCCCGTTGCGTCTAAAACCGCAGAACGGGAGCCCTCCGTTTCGCGCCAAACAGCAACATAGCTCGCAATTTCGGAGTGTAGATGACCTGCTGGGTGACCGTTACAAAGACAAAAATGGCACGATAGTGGTGGTGGGTGGCGGCATGTCGGGAGTCGAGGCGGCGTCAACGGCAGCTCTTCAGATATCGGATGATCAGCACTCTCCTTCCGCCCCTTCCGTGACCAAGATCCGCAAAGTTTATCATGTCACGTTGCGACCATTTTACGTCCTTCCGCGCTACGTCCCTCCGCAACCACCGGATCAGAACACGTTCGATCCTGCTCCGTTCTTCGCTCCGCTAGACTTAAGGATGTATGACCTGAGCCGCTGGCCTGAAGGCCCTATATTCCCAATGAACGGACGAGTCCCGCCGGGACGTGCCGCGCTAGGTCATCAATACCTTCAATCCGTGCTGGGTGATAATCAAGATGACTTGGGTTCTTCGGCGCTGACGCAGTCGGGTAGGGAGATGGAGAAGCCCGCCTTTGTCGGTATCAGCGACAACTATGTTGAGTTTGTTCGCCAAGGAATCATAGTTCCGATTCGCGGGAGAGCGACCGCCCTGGAAACAGATGCACTCTCAGGCTGCTCCGTGAACGTGGTGTCTGGAACAAAGGTGAGCTCGTCATGGCCTTCGTGGCAGTCAAGGTGCTGACGTCTATAGACGACGAGGATAATGAATGTCCTTGGAGTAATCCACGGCACGGGGTTTACGCCTCGCGATTCCGTGAAATGGCTGGCCAAGGACGTTCGCCAGGCCATGGAGTGCGAAGAAACATGCCATAGAATGCCTCTCCTGTTGAATCGCCATTGCATATGTCATGACAACTACCCGTCGCTAGGTTTTGTGGGCTTCTACGAAGGACCATGGTGGGGGGTGATGGAGATGCAAGCTCGCCTCATTGCCCAAAGATGGAGCGCCATGGATGACGATCGTCGCGTAGGTCCAGGTCCCTCATCTCATAAAGCTGATCCATTCAGAGCGGACTCCCGCTCGAGGTCCGAGTTAGAGATTGCTGAGATGCGAGAGCTAAGGAATGCCATGATGCAGAAGCTTGACGACGTGCCGCAGTTCTGGATGGGCGACTACGTCGGTTTGATGGAGGGTTTCGCCCGCGAACTGGGCATCCAGCGCAGTGATGAGGGCTTCATGGGCGAACACTGCGGCCCCTGCACGCCTGGACGCTACCCCGACCTCGCTGCGAATGAGAAGGAAGTCCAGAGAAACATGAGCGACCTACACAGCACGCTCGATGCCCTTACTAACGGCACGATGTTTGTCGCACCCGCAGCATTTCGTGCCTTGCAGGGTGAGTGGGAGCTGCAACGCACTCTGAAAAGCAAGCTGCCGAAGCTACCGACTAGTACGTTAAGAGGGACGGCGCATTTCCATGCCCGCTTCCCGACGCATCCAGATTTTGAAGGGGAGTACCTTTATGTAGAGAGTTTGGATCTCGAAGTCGAAGATGGCGCTGGAGGACAAACGCGGCTGCCGGCCTCTCGGAGCTACATTTATCGCTACTCTCTACCGCTGGACCGATTGTCAGTGTGGTTTGTGAAGGCCGACGGGAAGAGCGCTGATCGTCTTTTCTACGAGATGAAGTTTGCGTCACGAACTGATGAGATGGAAGAACGCGGCTATGGATGGATTGCGAACGGACGCCACGAGTGCGACGAGAACGAATATGAGGCGAGGTGCGAATTTCGGTTCAAGGGCGTCGGTCTCGAGACGTTCGGGGTAAGGTACGACGTGCGTGGGCTGCAGAGGACATACTCCAGCGAGAATCAGTACGTGAGAATGTGAATTTGTAGCATGTATGCGCTTTAAAATCGTCTTATGTCCAAGGCTTATTTATGTAGCTAAACAAGGAACAATCCATAGGAATGCATGTTTCCCCTCCCCCATCTCGTTTCACAATGGATCGTTATGAGCATTTCTCAAGAGCGACGTCGTGTGAATATGCCACGTGACTGTCAGTTCGATGGTGCGGCGGCGGCGCCTTCCCTTTTCGTGCCCCGACCTTGGTTCTGGTGTCGAATCTCCGTTTTCCTCTCTCTCTTGACAGACTTTCACCTTGATCTCTACTCCCTCCGGCCAAACACTTCAACCGATCAGCATTGAGTCCTTTCTTTCTCTCTTTCGGCCTCACGGCCCTCGCACGCGGCACTGCGACACGTTGCAGTCGGGGTCCGGGCTACCACCAGTCGCTGTCACACTCCCGCCTGACGCTCCACTCCACGATTCCAACGCTCCTGCGATCTTCAATGTCTCCGATCATCCTGGATTACGGCTCAACATCCCTGGATCTCCACTTGACTCTTCGCGCCTCACGAATCAACAACATACCCACGAACTCGTCCTCTCTTAGCGCCCATCACAATGGTCCGAAAGATCGTCTGCAGACGCTGCCTTCAGGAAAACTGTGAGCGCGGCAGGGCTTGTGCCGAGCGCTGTCGTGCTGCCGCAGCCTATCGGAAAGCCAAGACAGCCCGGCTGTCTCCTTTCCATCATTCACCACAGCCTCCACAGACTGTCCAACACACACCTCGAGGCAGAAGGGAACGCTACAACCAGCGCTCCTAGGGACCAAAATCCGGTACCAAACGAACCGGCACAGCCAACCTACTTACCCTCCCAACTTACACCAGGCCGCAGGCCTTGGTTTTTGCGCTGTAACGAGAAAACAAACTAGCTTTTCCCCCGGCCTAGAGGGAAAATTTTTCGGTGTTCCATGCCAAGAATAAATCCTCACCCCCGGACTACCCGGAACAATAACCTAGAGGCTGATCCTAATATCTACCCAGCTAATCTCAAGATGGAAACCCGCCCCCCTGATATCCGGGAGGACTCCTTCACGCCCCCCCTAACTCGCTCAAGGATTATCCTATCCTCCCTAATCCTAAAGGACGAGGATACGGACATAGAACAAGAAATAAACCCGACCCAGCCCTAGTTTATAGGGGAAGACCCGCCAATAGAAACGACTCCTACCCCAGAGACCATCCGTCGAAACGGGAAATCCCCAACGGTTATCCCCACCCCTATCTACGGCAAGCGCTAGCGGGAGAACATATTCGCCTTCCTAGCTACGCCAGATAAAAACATTAAAAGGACCCGCTATCCTAGCAGCCTTCCCGCTCCTAAAACGTCTACTGAATGGCTCCAAGCCTCCCTAGACTGCCTTCTAAAGGCAGCCAACGCGGAACAAGATACCGACAAAATAGAAAGCCTCCTCGGCCTTCTCTCTATCTTTAGAGACTACACGAAGACCGGAAAAATAGACTGTTCTAAGTCTATTCTTGCTACGAAAGTAAAAGCCCTTGAAAATACCTCCCGAGTACTCCAGACAAACGTACGGAAACTAGGAACGCCCCCTCCTATAATCACCCCGGCCCTACCTAGCCAAAACCCCACCTATAGAAACCCCCAAAGCTACGCCTCCGCAGCTACAAGGAACCTCCCTTCAGACCAAACCGGATTCAATCTTGTTACCAATAGGAAAAAACCCGGAACTACCTCTCCGCCCGCTCCTAAGCCTACTCTCAAAGAACACCAAATCTCTTTTTCTAACCCAGGATTAGACAAGTTCTTTAGCCTACTCGACACAAGAACTAGGCTGAATAAAGCCTTCGAAACAGCTAGATACCGGGGGAAAACCGTTATCTCAGGCGTTCGTCTCTCCCAAAATAATAACATTATTATAACGGGAAACTACGGATTCCCTGCGTCTTTTCTACTAGATAAGATCGATATAATCTAGAAAATCTTCCCGCAATGCCAGGCTAAAATAAACGAAACCTGGTATAAAGCGGCGATCTACGGCGTTCCTACCCAGGAACTAAACGATCTCGATATCTTAGACTTTATAAAGACTAAGATCTCTACCTTCTCGAATGGACTTCAAACCGTAGGCAAACCCTACTAGCTAACTTCTAAACAGAAGAGAGAAAACCAGCTTGCAGGATCTATTGCGGTAGCTTTCCGCACCGAAAAAGACCGCAAACTAGCTATCTCCCAGCGCCTATATATAGCAGGAGTTAGCTGCAGAGTCGAAAACCTCCTCTATACCTAGAGACCAACTCTGCAGGGAGGTCATTATACAACTTCTTTTCGACAAAAGGGATCGCTACTAACAGCGCTCCCACGACCCTAAAAGTACCTCTATTCGACGCAGAACCTCCAGCTTACCTCTCCTACCGAGGTGCACCAGGCCGCAGGCCTTGGTTGTTACGCAGTAGCAGGAATTTTCCCCTGGATCCGGCTCTACACTGCGGGAAAAAACTTTTAGTGTTCTTCGCCAAGAACCGCACAGACTCCTCTTAGCACCTAGCACCGCTCTTCTAAGTCCACCCATATATCTTATACCCGGAGATTGCCCCCACCCTCCTCTATATGGCATCTCGCCGTCTAGGGACCCGAGAGGGAACCCCCCTAACTACGCTACCCCGTCCAAGAATTATCCTCTCCTCACCTATCCTAGAGGAAGATACGGATATTGAATAGGGAAAAACCCTAACTCAGCCGTCCTTTCTCCAGGACGATATAATGGATACCTCCTCTATAATAGAGGAGCCACAAACCCTAGAGGTTCTAAACTCCCCGGCATCTACCCCTACCGGCCTCCGTAAAAGAACTAGGGATACTAACTCCCCACCGCCTCTAACTACTACCCTCCCGAAGCGTATCCGCTTCCCCGTCTCCCTCTCCCAGGCAACCCCGTCCTCTGTAAGGAACTTAGAAACGAGGGACTGGTCCTCAAGCAATGCGATGTTGTTGCGGGTCACGTGGGTGCCAAGCCCTTTACCGAAGGAGGCCACGCACAAGGATAAATAGCTGCCCCAGGAGCAAAGGGCGCTGGGGCAGGAAATAGTTTATACACCAATTCAAGTGCGACCCTGGTGCGGACTGACTGCGTACAACCTACGTTTCCTAGTAACCTAGTGATTGCCCGTCGGCCAACTCTTACATTCTATTTCCTCCCTTTCCGACGGCTCGATCAACATGGTTACCCGATCCCAATCACGACAAACCGGCGGTCCGGAGCAAGAACAGACGAATCCTACCGGTCCCGCTATAGCGCCGCATTTAGCGCCTAGAGAAGATTTTGCCCCCGACCCTGAAACGTTTCGATAGGTTCTAGCCAGGCTACAGGAACTCGAACAGCAACAGCGCGAACTAGCCCAAGATAGCGAACGACGTATGCGACCCGCGGAAGAAGAATTGGAACCACCGATACGCACACGTAAAAGGAGCGAGGAAAGAAGCGAGGAAGAAGATCGGTTCATACGCGCACCCGTAGCGTACTCGAACCGCACTCGCAGTCTATTTAGTACCCGTAGTAATTCACCCCAACTAAGAGTTGAGGGACCAGGTAACTACTTTGGCAAGTCTGTGCAGGAGCATAGCGAATTCATCTATGCTTGCGAAGCACTCTTCGAGCTGCAGCCTCGCACGTTCCGACGTGAACGTAAGAAAGTGGTATATGCTTCTACCAAGCTAAAGGGCAATGCGCAGGCGAACTATAGGCGATTCACGCGCGCTGTCCCTGGCGACAGGGATGCCATCACCTGGGAGATGTTTAAGGAACACCTCCTTGACCAAGTTCGTGACCCAGTCAACAGAGCAAGCGAATTTAAACATAAGTGGTTTACTGCGAAGCAGCGCGACCATCAGTCTGCGGCCGCGTTCGCAAATTATCTTGACTCATTGGAAGACGAGTTACCAGGCGGAAGGCCTGATGAAACCATGCGACGCGGCGCATTTTTGCAGAAACTAACTGACCGCCTTCGTAAAGAAGTATTGCGTATGCAGATAATCCCTGAAACAAGGGAAGGCCTAGTAGCGCTTGCAACGCGAATCGAAGGCAATACGCACTCTCAGCGCAGCAGCGAGAGAAAAGAAAAAGGGGAAATCCCTAAGAAAAGCAAGTCCTTTAGAAACAAAGACTTCAAGTCATACCGTGATCGTGTTCAACCCCATAGGAATGGCCGTGGTATAGGGCCAGCACCCATATCGCAGGCTTCCCGCAGCTTCAGCGATATTGTTTGTTTCAACTGCGGAGAACAGGGGCACATGAAGAACAAATGTCCACAGGACAATAAGGGGAAGAGACCCCAGGCCAATTTGGCTACCGTTCAACTCGGGAACGAGACAAATAGGAAAGCCGAACGCATTACACTTGACGTAAGCATGCGAGCCGCAGGGAAAACCTACCCTACTAAGGCCCTCCTTGATTCTGGAGCAGCCATGAACTTTATATCCCATGACTTCTTGAAAAGAAACAAACTCGTGGCAGTATAGACACCGGCCCCAAGGGCATATACGGTGGATAGCTATAAAGTACCAACCTATGGTATTGTTACATACGCAGTTAGCGTATGCGATTCATATGGGAACCGCGCCGACAACACATCCGTCTTTTATATAGCTGAAATCGCCGGTTACGATATTATCTTAGGATATCCATGGCTCCGCGCCTATAATCCCACTGTTAACTGGCGTGAGGGAACAGCCCAACTAAATAACTCCCCAACCGAGAACGCTACCATCGAGGAAGTCACTCAGGCGTTACAAGAAGGAGCTACTATTTACGCGGCATACCCGATGGCCAACGCAGGCGAGACGCCTGCGGCCCGTTTTAAGAAACTCAACTAGCATCAAACTCAAGATAAACCCAAGCATCAAATTCCGGCAGAATACTCTGAATTCGCCGATGTTTTCGATACGGCGCAGGAGGAAGATTAAGAAAATTACTAGAAGCTTCTCCGCCTCTAAATGAGACACTTCTCCCCTTTAACTTTCCTCCCTGGAAACAAGAAACCCCATACGAAGTACGAATCTCCCGCCTCTCTAAGGAAGATAAAGCCAAGGAACACTCCTCCTTTATTAGGAACCCCCCCCCCCCCCCCGGAACTTATCCCTATCTATACCGACGCTAGCTTATTCCCGCACCCTAAAAGTACGGGAATCGGCCTCGGAATCACTATAGTAAAGGACCTTAGCCTCCCGGGGGAAATCCTTCAAAAAGTTCACAATCTAGGACCAAATCAGCTAGTTTATAATGGCGAGCTCGAAGCAATCACTCAAGCTCTAGAACTCGCCGTTAAAAACCAGTACCGATTAAAGGATATAAGAGTCTATGCGGATAATCAGGCCGCCCTCTTAAGGCTAAAAACCCCCTCCGATAACCCTGGACAGGCCTGCCAAATACGAGCTATCAGGGCAGCTAATATCCTCATAGATTACGGAAACTCCATCACCCTTGAATGGGTCCCTGGACACACCGGAATACACGGGAACGAGGAAGCAGACTACCTTGCAAAACACGCTACTAGAATCCCTCCTAGCACCTCCAACACTAGCCTAGCATTTTACGAAATGCAGGCACGGCAGGAGAGCATCTCAGAGTGGAAATCGAACGCGGATAAATAAGCTCTCAAGGCGTCTACCTCCTCCTACCTTAAGCTATTTAACTGGACAATAAAGGCACGATTTAAAGCTCTCTCCTACGAGAGAGAAATACTATCAGCTCTTTACCAGCTAAAGATAGGACACGGATACTTTAAGTTCTACCTATTCCGGTTTAATCACTCCGATTCGGATCTCTGTTCCTGCGGTCCCTCTAGACAAACCCTACGGCATCTCCTACTTAGCTGCTCTCTCTATAACCGCGAACGGAGAAAACTAAAAGATTCCCTTGAAACTAATACTCCTAGTCTACAATAAGCCCTATATACCGAACAAGGAATTTAAGCTACGCTAGAATTCCTTAAAACCACTAGGATCGCTACACGGAAATGGCGCCTACTCGACCTTCCTGAAGAGGAGTAATAATACTAAATTTCCGACCTATTCCTTAAGCGTTTTACTTCTATCCCACCTAGTTATTTCTTTTCTTTCTTTCCTATTTTATCCGGCTTAGATCTAACCGTTCCTTGCCCTACCCTAGACTATAGCCTCGCTACTTTCTCGCCTGTTTTATATATTCCTATATAGAACCGTCTGTTATAGTTTCTAACTGCACATAGACGTTAAACAAATCAATCAATCAATCAATCAAACCGAATCGAGGAACCCAAGGGAGTCCGACGAAAAGAGATCCAATCAAGAATCGGCCAAGACTACCAGCAAAACAAAGCGACCAGCCAGTATATCCATCTAGCAGCACCGCACCTAGTGCACCGTCTTAGTACGGCCGCTAGCCTAGGTCTTCTCAACACTAACTCCAACTCTCTAAACCAAAAATTTTCAACCTAGAGGCCCGAGCGCCGGCTTGGCGAATGCAGTGTAACCATGCGACCTAGAAAGGAACCCCAGACGCCCAGGGGTCGGCGAAACTCAAGTCCGACATCCCCGGTCGCTCCGAAACCTATTCGAACCCAATCAGAAGTCCCGGCTAGAAGGGGCCGCCGCCGAATCAATTCAACCGGCAT